CTCTCTCTCTCTCTCTCTCTCTCTCTCTCTCTCTCTCTCTCTCTCTCCCCCTCCCTTTCCCTCCAACCCCCTCTCCCTCCCTCCCTTGCTGTCCCTTGCTGTAGTACCTAAAATGGCTCCTCTGAGAATATAGTACAATGAGCTGGATTTGGAATTAGGAGAGACCTGAGTTTGAATCCTAGTTATTTGAATCCCTGGGCAAATCACTTGATTTCTCTAGACTTTATTGTCTTGCCTGGTAATATGGAGTTAATAACATTTGCAATATCTACTAAGGGCTGTTGTTAGGCTCAAATGAAATGATGTACCCACATCACTTTGCAAATCTTAAAAGGCTATATCAATGAATTTTAGTATTAAGTTCACAAACTTTTTCTGCCTGGATTTTAGATTCTTTACAATCTCAGTTCACTTTCCCCTACTGCTCTGACACTTTCTCCATTATTCCCTAACGGGGACCCTTAGCTCTACTGACCACAGCCACCATGTTTGTTCTTGCCACTGTACCTTTCAGGCTGCTCTGTCGGCTTGCAATCCCCACCTTCTTCCCATTTGCCTATCCTTCCTGGTCCTATCCACCATTCAAGGCAAACGTCAGGTGTCAAGTCCTCCAAGAGGCCTTTGAGTACTTTGATCGCTTAGGCAAACATTTCATTAAGCACCAACTGTTTGCCAGTCACTATGCTAAGCCTAGGGATACAAAAACAAAAATGGAATAATCCCTGCCCTCTAGGAATTGACGTTCTAATTTCCACTCCAGCCTATAGTTTCTTTCTCTTCTCTGAATTCCTCTGGCACTTGTGTCTTTACCCCATCTTTAGGCCCTAAATTAGACACTGTTCGCTAATTATTTCTTGTGTGTAAGTGGTTGCCCTAAAATGCAAGCTCTTTAAAGGCATTGATGCTTTTATTTCTCTTTGATGCCCCATAGTGAATAGCACAGTGCTGGGCACATGGTAGCTACGCTAGGAATACTTATTGATTGCTTTACTTTAGACATACACTCTATGACTGAGAGTTGATAGGAATTTGTTTCCCTCAGGGCGAGTTACTAGGCTCCAAAGTAATTTCTTGTGATTTGCACTTAGTAGCCTGTTTTATTACCATTTGTAGTTTTGTAGATTTCACTTCCATTTCCTCTCAGTTATGTCTTTCTAGGCAGAAGAGTCGGCCTCTTCTCAGTCTGTCTCAGTCCTCTTCATCATGTCAGTTGCCCCTCTTTCTCTAGTGCTATTGCATCTTTCCTGAGGTGCAGCTATATCATCTGAACATGGGTATGCCA